TATTTTAGAATAATTCCATGGTTGGTTGCAAAGCTTTGGCCAATTGAACAATGTGATTGGTATGGGATAAACAGATCATCCTATAGTCGGTTCAGGATATTGGGATTATTCCTTGGCCAATATAATATATCTACCCTTGGGACCTACGGCCCTCGGGCAGATATAATATATAGGCCTTGGGATAATCCCAATATCCTGAACCGACTATAGGATAATCTCTATATGTACGATCGGTTTTGGATACAGGGTTTATCCTAAACCTCCCATTACATAACCCTTACAAAATTAAGATTGAAATATTTCCATGCTCTTATATGAAATCCTATTTCTTTTTACTTTTTATTTCTGTACTATCATATAAATATAGGAATGTTTTGAAATGTCTATGAAAGTTGATTAGTCCCAAGAACATGTTATTTGAGCGAATAATTTGAAAAAGGTTATTTGGATTATTCTGATAGATTCATGAATTTGATATGAAAAGTAATGTTAGGCAATAAGAAGTATATTGCTTGCAGGATTTTGAGTAAATCAGAAAAAATAAACACATCCAAATATCAATCACAAGGGTCTGGACGTATCGTCGCGTTTCGTTCAATCAGAATCAGATAAAATGGCAGATAATTTGATGTGCATCAAAATTGACAGTTTTATTGATTACTTTGGCATACATTGTGTATTTTCTTATTTTTTACAGTCGAATAATAGCTACTGTATGTTTAAATATATTGTATAAAATGTTTAGCTATATGTTTGTAATCACTGGAAATTGGTATGTCATCCCTTTTTAAGCCCATAAAATGTAAACATTTCTCAGCAAATAAGATTGTGTTTTTTATTGAGTTTGTGTTTGTTTTCCTTGTACCCTTGCATGATTTTTGATTTTTCCAGGACGCAAAACAAAGAATCTACTTCTTGTGGCCTTAGCTTTATGTTACATTAAATATAATTTGTTGCTAATTTAAGGTGAACACATGCATTTTTCATTTCTTTTTCACCATTAACAATAACTCGACAAAATGATACATTTTGCGAAATCGTTAATCCGATGTAAATTCTTTGGATACCCTATGATTTTAAAGAAAATCAGTTTTATCTAACTAGAGATGATATTGATATCTGCACGAGAGAGCGAAGCGAACGAGTTCATATATCAATATCGTCGAGAAGATAAATATGATTTTCTGAAAAACTCATAGGATGTTCTAAATATCCTTCAATTAGTGTACTAAATGGGGGAAATCAACAAGAATTGGAGTATATCGTTACACAACCCTCCGCATATTGGTTTACTGGATTATATCGTGGCGATATCCTCTGGTTATATTCATTATGTCATGTAGCAAATTATTATTTTATTTTCCTGCTTGATAAAGAGTGAATGTCATTCACATCTAGTTCTACTAAATATGAGAATAACAGTGAATCCTCTGATATTTCTAGTAAATTCGTTGGAAAAGTGATTGCCGTGATTGAAAATACTGTTAACACAAAACAGCAGTGGAAATTTGTAGATTTCTATAAAAAACTAAGGAATATACACCATATACTTAGCTGTGTATATCGAAGTTTACAAAACGGAAAATTGCATATAATAGTAATGCTTACAGGTCCGATTGCACCTGGTTGCACTAACATTTGTGTCATACTATTATTATTTGAAACACAAATTCGAAGAAGGCCTCTACTCTTTGGTTAATAACATTCAGAAGTGGATCTTTAAAGGTTTTTAAATGTGTGCGCCATTGCTGCCGATTCATCTTATTTAGTGATGTACTGAACTACATGCATACGTATAATGTAACGTCAGTATAATATATAGAGATTATCCTATATGAGGTTCGGGATATTGGGATTATCCCGAGGCCAATATAATATATCTGTCCGGGGGCCTTAGGTCCCGAGGATTGATACATTATATTGCCCAAGGGATACTGCAAATATCCTGAACCGACTATATGATGATCTGTTAATCTCATACCATTTTTGGTCATTTGGTTGACATTGTTCAATTGGCCAAATTTCAGAAAATTTCCACCCAACCGTGGAATAATTTTAGAATATTAATGTCCAGTTTTGATTTCTTGGCCGTGGCCGGTGTGAAAGAAATGATGGTCCCCCAGGGATTATGGTCCCCTTTCTTAACGGCCCTTACTTGTCCTGATTGCGTATAAGATAATGAGGGAAAACGTTGTATTGAGGTCACTATATAAATCAATGGAGAGTAGGACCATAATTTGATAGGGCCTCCTACCATTTACACCGGTTTTCCCGTTCTTTCAGATATCCATCCACATTTATTACCTCGAATCTTTGATTATTAACAGGATACTCTCTCAGGAGCATCTGTGCTCACAATAACTCCACCAGATATTGCAAAACCTCGAGAAAGAGTTGCCCATGTGCTGCTTTTCTCTGCTTTAACCCACAGATGACTCAGGGCTGAACCATGCTGACGTGGACAGATGAGCGCATCTTTATGTGCAAGAAAGTGATAGCAATTTGGAGGGGTATTGGATGTATTCTTGCAAGAGTATGAGTATGAACACTTTACTGTCTATACCACACCTGTCACACCTTCTTCCAATAGCCCCAATGCCCGTTGTACTGACTTTTGCAATGTTTAAAACTTGGGTCCGAGCTGAATTTTGCCCCACTTTGCAATATCGACGATTATTCGGTCAGCCATGACTCCCTGTGAATGAATGATATTCCATTGCATGAAAAGGATGCAATCAGCATTGGTTTTATGTTTTCTTCCAATATTGCATCGGGCTCCGTACACTGACTTTTGCGATTTTTATAACTTGGCCCAAAGCTAATTTTGGCGCACTTTGCAAATGGAATGATTACTCGCCCAAGTATGACCAAATATCAATGAATGATATATCATTGTAAAGAGGAGACATATGGCTTTACAGTGCATTGAATGAAATCAATGCTGTTATCACTGGTTTTGTGCTTTTCCGAGATAACGATCTGTTGCGTTTTTTTGATACGCACTGTATATTTATGTTTTTAAAATGCATGTACAAATATTCCGTTGCGTTTTGTCTCATACGTATAGAACTTAATTAATGTTATTGTCATTCACCATTTATCAATTTTGATTTTGTTCAAAACGTTTTGCTACCTACATGCAATGATTTCAATATGATGTCACTTAGGTTGCAAAATACTTTGATATGCTAAAACACTGAAGTGGCACATTAGATATGGCATTTTATTATTGAAAATTTTGTTTCATTTGTTCAATCTTTGCATTGGTGTTAAAAGTGTTAACAATTTATACGTTGATGTATCGTGATAATAGGTTGTTTAAGCTTACGATGTTTTTTACAACCTAAACGTGAACGGGAAATATTAAACGATGCATTTGTTTTGGCGATTGGTCATACGTATAGGTTGACGTTTAGATTTTATTTGCAAGCTTAAACTCCCATATCTATTACGAACCAAATCATTTTGAATGTATTATTTCAATAATAATATTTCCGATTTTAAATCTGTTTCCATAATGGAATTCAAAACTGAGCTCCACATGTCCCGTGCTTTGATTCTAAACTGAGCTCCACATGTCCCGTGCTTCTTAATTTGCGCGTCTCATTGTATCTCACATGACATTTTTAGCTGGCTGAGCAAACCAGACAAGACAAGACAATCGGAAACACCGATCCATATGATGCTGAAATGCGACCTGTACTTCAACATGATGGAATTCCTCTCATCTTTTAAACACTTGGTTCCACATGACGCGCGAAATCATCAACTTAACATTAATTTTATTTTTACAGCAGTTTATTGTATTGCCGAGTTTTTGCAATTGGATGCTATTTCCAGATAAGATCCCTGCTTCACATGAATCACATCCGTTCATTTTAGCTTAGGGTAGTCTAACAGCCACTGGGTTGCTGCACAACTTTGTCATCGGTCATCTTCATGAGAGGGGGTTGGCATTAGGCCATCTGGCTCAGGGAATTATTGTATGGGAGTCAAATACGGGTGGGCGGTTGGGAAAGTCCGTAATATTTTTAGTACTTTTTTTATGATGGCCTAAACATACGCATATGCGCCTCTTGCACTGGTAAAACTTATCATAATAACATAATCACGTGAGACTTTTTTTAAAGAATTGATAGTTGATGATGAAAGAGAGTCGTAAATAACAATGATATTACATAATATTAAAAGAGTCGCACATGTACATGTTTAGTTGTCACAATAATAACAATAACAATGATATATGATATACATGTGCTCTGTAGAGTATCAATAATTATTATATCTATTACGTTGGCTACAATCGTGGCAGATTTGTAGAGTAGAATCGGGCTTCACTCCATTTTGGAGAGACACTTGCTCCTGATTTCAGCGGGACCTCCTCATGTTTTCAGCGGGGCCTCCTCATGTTTTCAGCGGGATCTTTAGTTTATTGCTCATGTTAGAAGCGGGGCTTTGAGGGATATGGTAAAATGGAAATATATAAATTTCGGCGAAGCTTTAGGAAGTGAAACTCAGAATACCTTTATTTCATATCACTATAAACATTTCAACAGAAGGGCAACGACCTTCTTCAGCTATAAAATATAGAAATATATAGATAAAGATTTAAGATGATACATTCTCTCTCCAATTATCAAATAACGAAATTCAGAACATCAGATCGTGATACTTGTTTTGCAGCAGTTGCTTTTTAGTATCACTGCCATGTAATAATTGAATAAAATTAAATGAAAACGCTTTGTACAACATACAATTTAAGTAAACAAAAGATACCCCTTCATTTCTTTTAATTGCTCGCGATTTCAGCGGGAACTTGCTCGCGATTTCTAAATCATGGCGGGGCTTCAGATACTACCCGTGAAGTTAATCTTTTAATACATGGCAAACCAATACTAAACAAAACCACTCATTTATTTATATTTTTTGCATTATCATAATTAACACCCATGGTAATTTTGATGCTATCGACAAGCCATGTATTCCTTTAAATGTCCTACCTAGTAAATTGTATACATCAACTGTTGCGCCAATAGCTATCATCATTTAGTGCAGTCAGAATGAGGGTTTGAGCGTGCGTTCAGAGGGATTTTATGGGACATAATTTTTTATGTTGCTAGTATGATTTTACATATTTTTATGGATTATTAGATTTTAGTATTTCAGCTTTTAGATTTTGTGGCCATTTTACCCCTCATGGGCTATAATTTGGACCCCTACTATAAAATTGGGCTAGACCTCCAAAAATACTCAGTAGAATGTATCCAAATTGCTATGGTATATTGGTATAGGCTAACTAAATATACGATAACAATTTCAAGTCACATGGTTAAGTGGTTGCCATGGAAAGGGATAAAACATACCCTTCGAGTGTTAATTTTCAGGCCAAATTTTCAGAAATGATAGAGTCATTTCGTGCATATTTTGTCACCAGTCTGTTAGGAAGGGTTAAAATGTGAATAGAAAACTTTTGTAATATGTCAGCAACAATCTTATGTAAAGATCAGTCCACAGAATCTCAGATTTTGGCCTTATATGGGTCCATGATTTATACAGCGGCCTATTTCACAGATTCGAACCCCCACATTGGATGGATGCTATAACTTTTGAAGTAAGGGAAATACAGGTCTCATTTTTTCAGATCTTCATAAATGACTGGTTTTAAGTATTGTATCATACTTTGGGAGCTGGCATATGATTGGTTGCCATGGTAACCAAGGTTTTAGGGAAATTCTGACCCCCACATTGGAAGGATGCTATACCTTTCGAAATAAGTGTGATACATGTCTCATTTTTTTCAGATCTTAGACAATGATTGATTTTAAGTATTCAATCAGACTTTGGGAGCTGAAACTTGATTGGTTACCATGGTAACTAGGGTTTTATTGAAATTTGGACCTCCACAATTGATAAATGCTATAACTTTTAAATTCAAGCAGATACAGATATCAGCTTTTCAGAACTTAAAAAATAATACGACTTGTGTATTGTGTCAGACTTTGGGGGTTACAGTTTACTTGGTTGCCATGGTAACCATGTTTCATTGTCATGGAAACTTCATTTTAGATTTCAGATTTACCTTCATTTGAGAATGGTCAATACACAACATAGAACACAAAATTGCTCAAAATTATCATTTTACTCCTAATTTAACATTTTTACATGTATATCTGAGAGTATTGCCTCATTCCATTCTACTAGTTCTCACACATATTCTACTAAGTTGTTTTTACTCATCATTTTAGCTATTTTTGACCATTCTGGTATAAAGAATTCCGCGGGGAATTCATAGTTCATTCATGCAGTGTTTGGCTTGGTAGAGCTGGGTTTAGGCTGGTGGGAATGTTTCCATACACAGGTTTGATTATTCACCCTCTTCAAATGTGAGAGTTGAAATGTCAATACCTTCATAAGTGAGGGCAGCACTGTTCTGTTTTTGAGAATATATAGTATCTCATGTGAAACAGCTCATCATAGTGGCAGTTATTTTTGTAATTCAGCTGTACTTTTGCAGGTGAAAATTTAACTTTGGATTTTATGGTATCAGGAATTTCTATATTGTTTCCTATTGAAGAAAACAACTTTAAGAATTGTTTGTCTTCAGTTTCAGTTGATTTATTTTTCTTTTGTTCAGATCCAGTAATGCATTGACAGCTAATATAGCTTCACACAGTACGTCGTCCTAGGTTTGCAGCTACAGGGGTTTGGTTGAGCTTCTGACATCTAAAGGGACAGAGTTCACATCAGTTGAGGTTCTTAACGTTGTCTTCTTCATAATAGGAAACAATATAGAAATTCCTGACACAATAAAATCCAAAGTTGAATTGTTCACCTGCAAAAGTACAGCAGAATTACAAAAATACATTTTTTAACTGACATCAATAGATTATGATATGAGCTGGTTCACATGAGATATTCTCCAAAACAGAACAGTACTGCCCTCACTTATGAAGGTGTTGACATTTCAACTCTTCCCATCTTTCAAGATGAGTCCTTGACTGCTTTCATAGCAGCTAATGTAATGCAATGAATTACTTTGGAGCCAATGATGTACTCTTTCACCTTTGAAGAGGTTGATTGACAAATCCTATATGTGGAAGTGGAAACATTCTCACCAGTCTCCCAGGGAGTTCACTATATATAAACCTTGAGGGGGATCCTCGGCTCAGGTGGGGTACTTCAGACATTTGGTATGGCCCAAATAGACCCAAATTTTAGGATCTGATATGAGAAATGAGAATGTCCTCCAAATTATGACTTGAGGTATGGCAATGGTCAGATTTTTCCACTTACTGGTATGAGAATGGTTTTGTAAAATATGTTACCCCTCACTTGCAGTATGGCATTGATCTAGTATATATCCTTAATATGAGGTTGTTTTTGGGTTGTTTTCCTCAAAGATCTGCCTTCTTCTTGGGGCATTAGACATTTTGAATGGCCATGTTTTTATATCTGGATATTTGATATCACATTGATCCTATATTTGGGCATTTGGTATGGCTTTTGGGCATTAATTTGGTTGGTATGGGAATACATTCAAATTTGACAGATTGGTATGGGAACATATTGATATCTGAGGGTTCAGCCTAGGACCCCAGCCAAATTTTATATACAGTGAACCCCCAGGGACCAATCTTAACCCATTCTGCCAAGCCCAATACTGCATGAATGTATGAAATCCCCTGAGGATTCTCCACTCCAGAATGGTCAAAACAAGCCTCCATTCCAACAGAAACGGTTGAAATTTAAATCAAAAGGCAATTGTGCAAAATGAAAAAGTAATGATGAGTACAAATGAACAAATTAGGAGTCAGAATATTTGTGAGAACTAGTGGTATTGAATGAGGCAATATTGTCAGACATAAATGTACATGCATTGTTTACTAGTATTTAATATTTTATGAGCCAAACAATTTTTGCATCTCTAGTATTAATGAGCCATGAGCATGTAAATCATATAACATAGAAAAATTCCAAAATTATGAATAAAATGGCAATTTGGTATTTCATATCATGTATTGACCTATCTAGAATGAAGGTGAATCTAAAAACAAAAACGACAGTTACCATGACAATGAAACATAGTAACCATGGCAACCAAGTAAATCCTAGCTTCCAAAGTCTAATACAATATACGCATTTTATTATTATTTTAGATCTGAAAATATTATACTTTTATCTGCCTGTATTTAAAAGTTATAGCATTCATCAATTGTGGAGATCTGAATTTCAACAAAACCCTGGTTACCATGGTAACCAGTCTAATACAAGCTCCCAAAGTCTGAATCAATCCTTAAAATCAATCATTGTCTAAGACTTGAAAAAATGAGACACCTATATCCCTTATTTTGAAAATTGTAACATCCTTCCAATGTGGGGGTCCGAATTTCCATAAAACCCTGGTTACCATAGCAACCAATCGCATAACAGCTCCCAAAGTATGATACCATACTTAAAACCAGTCATTTATGAAGATCTGAAAAAATGAGACCTGTATTTCCCTTATTTCAAAAGTTATAGCATCCATCCAATGTGGGGGTTCGAATCTGTGAAATAGGCCCCTGTATAAATCATGGACCCATATAAGGCCAAAATCTGAGATCCTGTGGACTCATCTTTATATAAGATTGTTGGTAATATATTATAGAAGTTTTCTATTTGTATTTTAACCCTTCCTAACACAATGATGACAAAATATGCATGAAATGACTCTATCATTTCTGAAAAAATGGCCTGAAAATCAACACCTGAAGGGTATGTTTTATCTGTTTTCATGGCAACCGCTTCACGATGTGACTTGAAATTTTTATCATATATTCAGTTAGCCTCTACAAATATATCTTAGTAATTTGGATACATTCTACCGAGTATTTTTGGAGTTCTAGCCCAATTTTATAGTAGGGGTCCAAATTATAGCCCATGGGGGGTAAAATGGCCACAAAATCTAAAAGCTGAAAATCTAAGATCTAATAATCCATAAGAAAACATAAAATCATACTAGCAACATGAAAAATTATGTCCCATAAAATCCCTCTGAACGCACACACAAACCCTCATTCTGACTGCACTAATTGTACATATGTCAAATATCGATCCTGAACTTGCAAGATTACTGCCAAGGCTCTACAATGTACAAGGTTGATATATCACAGTACACTACGACAGGACATATCTTGTGAAATATACTTTCGGGAAGTTGGAATAGTCTCCATTTTACTCTCAAGTACCACTTATTTATGAATATAACATTAAAGTTGGGAATTTTTCAATTCATATAACACAATAATGTATTTATTGAAAATGTTTTGTGGACTGGTAATGGAATTGCTTTAAATATTTTTTACTTACAGCCACATTCCTCAACTGCTCTCCACCAACGACATGAAGCATATCTAAGATACTCTCCAGACCTGCCTTCCTCATACCTAAAGACAAAATACTAACATGTGGCTAACTTTGCAAGGGGGGGGGGGGCAAAACGCAGCACGAAATAGAAACATCTAGGAGAATGGTAAAGACAGCCTCTTGTTACAGTAGTGAGCTACATGTATATTATATTCTACTATATTCACCTATAGTTTAATTTGTAATCTATGCTTGCTGTATATGTTGAGCTATTCTTTATTAGAGATCTTAGGTCAAGGTCACAATGACATTATATCTTGTAAACAAAACTGAACTGAATGACTCATTAACTCTTGAACTTCTAGAATATTCGGAAACTAGTAAACATTTAATCAGATTGAATCATGTCACTAAAGATGTCCAATCAAGATGTAGTTCCAGAAGATTCATTTCTGGATAATTCTTTCACATTATAAAAGGAACTGCACAGTGGCACTCATCAGCAGATAAATTAAGTCATCATAACTGGACATCTACTCTGTAGCAGATAATTAAACCATCATAACTGGACATCTCAAAGGAACTAAATAAAGCAGAATTTCAAAGTCTATCAAAAGGACATCTTCTTAGCAGAAAATTACAGACACCTACTTTGGGAACATTTATAACAGTGCAAACATACAACCTGAGGACTTTATATGGACATATATTATAACACACACTATATACGGATTATCATATACATTCGTGGATTATCATAAACATTTGTGGATTATCGTTAAACATTTGTGGATTATCATCAAACATTTGTGGATTATCATCAAACATTATTTGATACGAACATTATAGGATTACAACAAACATTATTGGATTATTACAAACATTGGAGAACTATTAACGATTATTGAAACATTTCGTGATCTGGAACATTCCCAAGGATCGTCAACGACATTTATCGACATCAAGAATAAGCCGTATCGTTGATTGGACATCACTTAAGTATTAAACCTCCTTTATATTATTGTTATATTATTTAGTTATTAAAATATAAATATATTGTTATCATATTTTAATTGCTGTTTTTACTTTCTGTTATTTTCGTACGTAACACTCTATTCCACCTTTTGACACTCTCACATCATTGGTAAGGGAAATCCAAGACACAATAAGAACAAATTGAAAAAGTCATATTTCCCAGGCGTACTCTGCCCCAAACTCTGGCTGAAATATGACCTCTGATGACGTGGCTGTTAGGTTAGGCAGAAACAAAAGTTTTTAGGCTTCCTGATACAATCAAAGTATGATAAATTGTGACGACATTATAGCCTACCGAAGTATTGGGTGATTTAAGTCCACATATTGACCAGATGGCTATGTGTACAAAAATACAGTAAGAAAATAATTGAAATAACCAGACAAATTTAAATTCATTTTACGTACATCTACAAGTGCTATTGAGAAAAAACGAAAATATGTTACAAAACAGAACAAGAAAATGAATATTGCATAAAACCCCGAATATTTCACACTATGAGTAAACCTTGGGTACAATTATCAATATACCTTCACTTTTTGAAGCTTGGATTTCAATGAATTCATACAGTGATGAAAGTGTGACCGTTGCTCCAGCCTCAATACATGTATCAGTAGTTGTTATGCTGTCAAGGCCTTTTACATTAGTCAAGCAAATAACCACCTTCTTACTTTGACTGTTGCGTATGTATCTTCCTGAAAAAAAAACTTTTTTAAAAGTGTGGTAGCAATTTCCCCTTATAATCCTCACAATAGACTACCATTCCGAATATGGATACCAGCAAAGGGACATAGATTACTTTGTTTTGTGTGTTTTTTTTCAGTTGCCAACTCGATACAACAAAGTCCCTACCATTACTAAAACATGAACTCCACGTGTTAGAATACCGAATGGAATTGTGTCTATTATAGTTAGAGATTGGTTGTCTTCTGGTATCAGAGTTGATTTCTTCTCACCTACACTTGTAGCGCCAACAGTAAAGATTGCATCCGGATACTGTTGCTTCAACTGACACACTTCATCCAGGCTATTAGGTCTATACCAGTCCACATTTGGACTCTTGAAACATATACTCTGTGTTTGGTAGGTTACATCCAACTAGGATGAAGATGTAAGATTGTAATTTAGAAAAATACAACACAATTCTGTATAATATCTCTGGGAAACTTATCCATTCCTTCTGAACAAATGATCTCATCGATCATTCCATAAGTTCTAAATAAACGTACCACCTCAACTGATGGACGTTATTTCCAATCAAACAACTATAGATATATCTTTCTACCATAAACACGCGATTTAGAGATCGTGCAACATATACTCACCTGTAGTTCACTAGGGAAGATAGGATCCTGCGTTGGGTCATACACAGCAAACTCACTAGCATCAAATGTTTTAGTGCAAACCTGTTTAAGTATACACAAGAAATGACTTTACCAACTTCTTGAAACTCAATCATCACTTCTTTTACTTAATTATCTCCTGAAAAATTTAGTTGATGAACAGTGGTAGGAGTACTACACTGGGGCAATATTCAAACACCGTGATTACTTACTTTAGATTCACCGTCAGGGAGTTTTTCATTCTGACAACAATTCTCTCCTTCTTCACATGTCCATTCCTAAGTGAAAAGGATTATCTGTAATTCATGTTCTTTACTAAGACAAACTCTTAACAAAATCCATCATAATCTTCGATAAAACACGCATTTCACACAGATTTAAATAAAAGTTATTTGTGAAAATGCATGATTCTTATTTCCTGGTATGCTTTATAAATTTACCTTACTGAATGTTCTGAAACCAGCCAGTATGGCTCTATAGCCAGTACATCTACAAAGATTACCTAAAATCAAACGTAGTATTGCGGTTGATACGTCTGAATAATTTTGCGTTTCTTGTACTTCAGAAATATTGTCACATGCTCCAGTGTTCGTATATTCTCTATATTACTTATGCATTTTACATATCAAGAAGGATTGGCTCACAGACCTCAAAAAATGAAAAAATGGCGGCTGTTTGGTTTCAAATTTTGTAATCACGACGTGACTCAGTAGACGGAAGAATCTCGAGACGAAACACTGGGAGCCAATTCTCCATTGAATAAATATCATGGTGACTGGCTGGTTTACCTTGCAACGCTGTCTCAATCTGAGTCATGGATGGTTCAGGGTAATTACGTAGCAATGTGTACATAGACATCACAAACCCAGGAGAACAGAACCCACATTGGGTACCATATGCTTTTGCCAGGCGCTCCTTTTTAAATTTAGAAACACAGAAAAATAGTATAGCAAGCTTATTTGTAGGCATGGGCATGGGGCATGCGAGACTTGGCCAAAATTTTAAGGGTATATATTTATAATATTTAGCCTAAATTTGCCTTGCCTATTCACATTTGTATCATAAATTTCCCACTTGTCGTATTACAAAATCTAAATCTTAAATTGAAGAAAATGTTAAAAGGGGGTTGCGGTAAATTGCTTTTGTTTATTCCCAGCTCATTCACCCTATGCTTAGTGAGCGGACCTAATTTCAAGGGTGATGGTAAAGACGAGGCAGGGCGCCCAAACCTAACTATGGCGGACCAGCTGTAAGTTTATTTCTCTAAGTTCTACTCTTTATTGGCCTTGTGCTGGCCTGTAACTAGGTGCACTGATGCTTCAGATGCCCATAATTAGATTTGTAATGTAAGAAAGATTCATTCTTATATGTGAAACGGATACGAAGTGATGTGAAAAGAAAAATTAATTTTCTGCATATTTTTTTTCGATTATTTTCAAAATAATGATACTTCTCCTGCACAGAATTCCTTGATATTGCATGTAATTATTGTTGATGAACGTATTTATATCGTAAACCCATCCATTTCCCAATTTGAGCCGTAAGTGCAGTCAAATCAGGGGATTTTGATTCATCGAAAGGAAGAGCAATGGTTACGGTAATAAAAGCATGTTTGGACGAGCCGTGGAATAGGGATTACATTTATCCTTTGATGAAATAATACACCACCTGATCAATAAACAATTTACACAATGTGTTAACAGTGATTATGTTGTCTCAGAAAAAAATAATCTGACAAAAGTTTATCCCACAGTGCAGAAACTTGTGACTACATCTGCCATGTTAACAACCTCTGACTACATCTGCCATGTTAACAACCTCTGACTACATTTGTCATGGTAACAACCTCTGACTACATCTGTTATGTTAACAACCTCTAACTACATCTGCCATGTCAAAAACCTCTGACTACATCTGTCATGGTAACAACCTCTGACTACATCTGTCATGGTAACAACCTCTGACTACATCTGTTATGTTAACAACCTCTAACTACATCTACCATGGTAACAACCTCTGACTACATCTGCAGTGTTAACAACCTCTGATTACATCTGCCATGTTAACAACCTCTAACTACATCTACCATGGTAACAACCTCTGACTACATCTGCAGTGTTAACAACCTCTAACTACATCTACCATGGTAACAACCTCTGACTACATCTGCAGTGTTAACAACCTCTGATTACATCTGCCATGTTAACAACCTCTCACTTCATCTGTCATATTAACAACCTCTGACTACATCTGTCATGTTAACAATCTCTGACTACATCTGTCATATTAACAACCTCTGACTACATCTGCAGTGTTAACAACCTCTAATTACATCTGCCATGTTAACAATCTCTGACTACATCTGTCATAATAACAACCTCTGACTACATCTGTCATGTTAACAATCTCTGACTACATCTGTCATATTAACAACCTCTGACTACATCTGCAGTGTTAACAACCTCTGATTACATCTGCCATGTTAACAATCTCTGACTACATCTGTCATATTAACAACCTCTGACTACATCTGTCATGTTAACAATCTTTGACTCTATCTGCCATGTTAACAACCTTTGACATCAACAATCTCTGACTACATCTGTCATGCGTCTGATTTTTTATGACTTCGTCAACATTTGTTAAAAAAGTGTGGGCCAGTTACCATTTATACAATTTCAAAATTCTTTTAAGTTATTCTATTTATTCGTTCAACAACCAACACTTTTTGATAAATCATAAAATCAAGTGACTACAGTACATGTTTTGCAAGTTTTTATCATTGATTGAAGCCTATGACAACCTTGCCCAAATTCATTAATTTATTAATTGACAGTGTACATTTTAGCTGAATTTAGCAGTACACGTAGCAGCTTAGTGTTTGCCCATAGCCACTCCTCTTCGCAAATTACATCGCCATTGATCGTCATCGAAATTCTGATCGCCGAATAGTAAACATTCATTTTGTATTGGATGTACATAACTAGAGACCGCCTTATTTCGCATATATGAAAAATAAAACATATCTAGGTACATATATCTTTATATGTGACATCGATCAGGAATTATTGACATATTGACAATATTAGGTTGTAATTTCTTGCGGTAAATTCAAATTGTATCTTTAAACGACTGTTTCATCTTAACTATTCGTTTTATTGGATGTAAAACAAACGGTATGCATAGTTTAACATCTTTCACTTCTAAAACAGCATAAATTATCACAATATCATCACCTAATGCTGCAATAATACGACTTAAAAGATTATGGTACTAATATTCTTTGGTTTTTGGGCGCCATGCCTCGTCTTTACCATCACCCTTGAAATTAGGTCCGCTCACTAAGCTAGGGTGGAGTTCACTACTAACTTTTGCAGAGAAAAAATGTAATTTCGATACCTGCACAGGGTGGAGTTTAGTCTTTGTGCTACCTATCCCCTCAACAGTAGTTACAGCTAAACCATGCACGGCTACTAAGGGCATTAAGCATGCATTCACACCGTAGTGCCTGTGAAATTAACAATATTTGATAAACAGGTATACGTGCCACACGAGGAAAGACCAAAATGTTTTACAACACACAGAAAAACATGAAACTCCTAGGAGAGAAATGAGCCATAACAATCTCAGCCTCCACTCTCTGATATTTCTCACTAAGACTTTTAGTTTAGAGCTGAGGGTGTCGACAATAAACTGTTTCTACAATTACAATACAAAGTCTGTGTAGATACTTATTGGACACCCTGTACAGTTTATTGTTCATATAATTACAAGTTTATCACAATTACAATTTAGAAATACAATGGGTGCATTGCATTAAATACATTGTATTCTAACTAGGAGAAGCCCTTTTCAGATCAACCTCTATCAAGACATAATATAATGATCAGGAAATAATTTTAAAATAAAGATGACCTCTTTATCATCGTTTGATCGAATGGTTTAAAGTGTCATGATAAAATGTGGCTGATAATGTCATTGGACAGCCACTAGCACATGCTCAACTACTGCAAGAAGTATTCTCTGAATTAATAATGGATATTAATATAAAAAAAACTTAGATTGAATTGTTGATTTACCTTATTTGTTTGCTACTGGGATTGTAGCTTGAGACCATTACGGTGCAAGACCCACAGCCTCCATCTCCACAAGCCAGCTTGGTACCAGACAGACATACTGTCAGCAGTTTAGGAAATTATGACTAGAAGGTTTTTACTGTAAATTGACAAACTGATAGGAAAAGTCACATTTAGTAATTTTTGTTCATATTTGTTTTAATCAAGCAAAGCAAAATTTAGTATGAAAACCCGTTCCGTCCGCTGTTTCTATTATTTTATAGCTTATTCATGAAAATTTTGTTAAAAGAGTTCAAAGGATACAATCCCGTCTGAGGAACTGTAATAGCGTTGTCTCCGGTTTTGCATTTTCCTTTACAATCTAAAATACAACAAGGTATTAACATGCAAAATGACACCACCTGCCATTTGTTACAAATGCAGAACGCCTTACACCAACCGCCGAACACTAACTGTCCACAAAATAATTGGAGACAATAACAATATTTGTGGTGGTGACATAAAAATATTTGTTGCTTCAAATGTCTGGTGATGGCATACGGGTGACAGACCAAGCAAAACATTTGTATATATCTTGAACTGCTTGTGGTTTGCCTGATAAAATATGTCTGCCCTCTTATATATGCCTTTCTGCAATGTTACTTTTGAAAAATTAAAATAGATGAAACTTCCTTGAGCGCAAGAGAACACGGGTTTATTGCGCATAAAATTAATTTATGTGAAATATACAAACGTTTTGAGTGTAAACTATGAGATTGCATTGTAGTTTTTTCATTTTTTAGGTTTTACTGACGCAGAAAAAGTAAAATGGACTGTAGGTTTTGCCCCATATAAAAAGCATTAAACTAGAATACAAATAGAATCACAAAAATATTCAAATAATGTTTTGCAATTAGAGTTCAAAGGTTTTCTTCACAAAACAAAAATAATTTGATTATTGATTGGTAAAATATCAGCGTCTCTAATTCAATTGGTAAAAACAGTTTCTACGGTAACTTGACTTTTAGAATTTAGGTAGGTGGGTTGGGTAATTCAACGACATGGTACAATTGTAGATTTCGGTACGGGACATAAATGTAGAACAACTAACTCTCTGGCGCGGTTTTGTAAATGTAGATCACTCTATGATACGCTGGACACGGGTAGGCGATCAGAATTGGGTAGCGTAGAGAACTCTTATGTGAACTTGCAGAAATGATCCTCTTATTCCCCCCTTTGTGGTATTTATTTGCCCGATTAAGTATGAGCTAGACTAAATAGTTGCCATTTCTTGGAGTAAATACTGAATAATATTCACGTGTGCAGCAAGTTAATACGTACCATCTTCATCTCCTTCGAAGTAACAGTTTTAACTTCCACAGCTTAATGTTTCGATTTCAGAAAAATTGGGACTTTTTATATAAAAACTAATTTGTGGATTACCACCAAAAACTTAGAACTATACAATGTAAATATTTGCTAACATTCAACATTTTGCAGGTGCCCTGGACATTTTTCCTCGTGCTTATCACAGAATGTAATAGATGCCTTGGATGTTACGTGTGCATATGTTTATCTACTTGTTGTTATGGTGACTTGCAATATGAACACTTTTAGAGGTCTTTATGACAAAACGAAAGTAAGATCATGGAGGTCCATAATATCATATTAAATGCAGCATATTACCTGATTACTCATATCATGTGTCCGTCAAACATAGACAATCTACTCCAGAAAACAATAAAAACTCACCTTTTGTCCATTGACGTAGAATACCAGACTTGTGTCCATGTTTTACCCTCACTGCTGCATTTTGTGTGTTGGCCAGAAGATTCAATATAACATTAACATTTATTTCTTTGACCTTACATCGTGTACACGGAGTACGTGAGTTACTGTGTGAGTATCCATCTCAAGCACTAGTTTCCAAGGCTAAGCTGCATAATTATTTTGTTCTAATTTTATGCCGTTTTGACGTTTTATTACATTGATGACATTTTGTTTATTTTCACACGATGCAATGGATCGCAGAGACATGGGCTTAATTTCCAGATGTACATTATGTACTGGCAGAAAAAGTTTGTGTTTTTGAAATTTTGGCCTTGAGCTTTAAAAAAGTGGCAAATTTCAAATATTGACTCCTTTTAAGTTCAATGATGCCATTAAGATTGGATTGCTTAAAAAACCTTCGACCTGCATTTTCGACCTTCAACCTTTGACCTATTGGGTGTCCAAAAAGAACTGTTAATATGAGCTATTTTTGGGTTCGAATTTTTGCGTATGCTCATGAATGGAGGTGTTTCATTCCCATGATTCAAATTGCTTTTCTGTGATCGGTTGGGCCCAATTGATATACTGTCAATACACTTTCGTTGGATACATACCTTTTGTTTTTACATCAAACAAAAAATATAAGTAATAACTATTTCAAATATTTCAGATAAAGATGGCGCGTGCATTTTTATAATTTAAACAAATCCGATTTAATGCTCATGCGCAGTACAACCGAACAAAAAATGGAACTTTGGCATATTGCCCCCTAACGTCGTAGGTCGAAGGGTTTTTACAACATCAAGAATTTCTGAGCACCCAAAAAGTCGAAGGTGCAGAAACCACTTGAGTTGGACTCGAATCAGATAATTGATTTACTCGAGCCTATGATATGCATTGCTGTTTTTATTGTAGGCGCATGTGATAGAAAAAATACCATACGTGATTAACAAGGCCATTTATTGTAACCTGGTGTATAATAAGATATAGGTTGATATATGTTGAAATTGAAACTAACAACTGTACTCAACATAATTAATGTCGGTAGAACTCTCTTTACTTTTCTCCCTATGTTTTGTGTGTTAAATAGCATAACTTTAAGAATTATTTCCTCTAATTCCAGTCCATCGAATTTCAAAGAATTCCAGAAAAATATAGCAGAAAACCTTACTTGCCTATCAAAAAAAATTTCAAAAAAAATATCCCACGAAAATCAAAAGTTCCGCTCTTTTATATAGATGGAGTGGTAATACGTCATCATTATTAATTTTGTGTATTTTGACCAATTCACCCCTACCTTGCACAGTCATCCATCCACATAAAATAATCACAAATATTTTACTTTTTTCTGCTATGATCACATGCTTCCTAGTTATTCTGTGCATTATATATCTGCAAATCAGACAAATAAATATTCTATTCAAAGAAGGCTCCAAACAGGTTTCTATTAGAACTACTTTCCTCATACCACGAAATAGACAAACCAAGTAAGGATAGTACACTCGTCAGTCTATTTGGTCTGATGTTTTTTCTCTATTTAAGGATTTTACAGATTTCCCCTTGACAGGCAGTGCAAATTTAAAGTAAAAGGCTAGCCTGGTTATTTCTATTAATTTCCCTATAACAGACCAATAAGCCATATGGGACTACCAAACTGGTACAGCTTGGGTCATAAATGTGTAGTGGTTTTTCAATTACTTTAAATACAAACCATTGTGGTTTGAAAGCCAATATCTTCCAAAAGAATGTCGAAATACATATCCCCTAAAATTTGCAATCTTACATTTTTATACTCTCATCTACTGATGTGTAGCCTCTTGAAAATTCCCTTATTTCTAACATGGGAAATCCTCACTTCGACAAAAAGAGAGGCTTCGGAATATAGTCTATGGTATGAAATTTCTAGGACGTCTAATAAAGGAGCTGGTAGCACACATAGCGCAGCGATATTTGACTAATATTAACATACCTACATAGGTTCCCTACTAATTGTTTTATAATCGTTTAATACACTTCCGGCTTTCAGGCCAAATTATGAATTATGCCTGCCATTAACAGAGGTCAAAAAATTACCAAAAAATAAAATCCCAATTTTTCACAATTTGGAGTACACAACGCAACAGGAATTAATACAAAATGATTATAAATATATGATATGATTTTGGTTTGAATTAGGGACTACATCTAAAATTCTATTCCTCGTAGTTAGATATAGCTCAGTTACTTATAAAACAACCATCAAGACTTGGTCGAATCTATGAATAATTGAGAAAAATCGTTGTCTTTATCTTCCTAAAATTTGATTATATCCAGCGGTAAGGTCAAAGAAGAAACAAACATTAGAAAACTTGTTGATAGCCAGCAGTAACTTCGAGGAAGAATTGTAAGGCGTTCGATTGCACATAACTTTAATTGATTATTAGACATGCCCTTTGAATATATGAACATTCCAATACCTCTGTAACATTTAATTAGATATAAATCTTATCTATTTGTTATTGTATTATGTTTTATAAAACATGAACAATAATTTGTTGTTTGACCCCTTGCGATTATATGGAAAAAATCTGGTAATAAAATGTTTTAAATGGTAAGAAAACTAATATGTTCCCAATCATAAATTACCTAAATATTTCACACAATTTTGTTGAATCTGCTTGGCTCAAAACAAAATCTGCAAAAC